AATTTTATAGATTTATTATGATGAGATCCGATGAGTCATCATTTTATTTATATTTTTCAAAGCCTAAATTGAAAAATATACATTTTTCATTTTGTGTTTTATATAAATTTTGTAAAAGTCAAAACAAAACATTTCTCTATGTTTTCCGCTACATATCTGGTCCGGTCTTCTGGTCCGACCCTGAAGTAATCTCCTGGATCCAGTCCTCTGGCCTAGTCCCGAATTCTCCTCTGAAGACCGGTCCGCTAGTTCGGTCCTAAATATCCGCCTCTAGGGCACTTTGTCTACAAACTTCGTATGACGACACTGAAGCACCTAATCACTTAAAATAGATGTTAAGCACGAGAGTTGTGCACTTGTTTTAATATAATATAGTGTCTAAAGTATTTCTAAATTTTGTCTGTACAGACTAAAATACAAGCGATATTTTTGTATATTTTGTTCACGGTATTTCTAAGCAGCGAAACAGGCTTTTTTTATAGAGAAACGGTCTTCCACATGCGCCCGACCGCCCGGGTGATACACATAGCTACGACTTCAAGTCTTCAACTATAAAGTGATCATCCGTCCCGCTTTGACCTTCATTTGCACAAGAATTTCGTCTTCCATCGAATACCTGTGCCATTGGGAACGGACAAAAGAACGCAAGAGGTCAAATTCGACTTACCAGACTTTTGAGAGGTGCAGGCACCAGGCGACTGAGCACTAAGGGCAGTAATAACTCTCGGCATAGTGGGGATTGGGCATTGGGATTTGGGCCTGGGGCAATAGTACTAGGATTCTGGCCCTGGGGAGTGGGGAATTCGAACTTGGAAGTTGGAAGTTGGGGGTCGGGGGTTGGAAAGTAAAAAAGCTGAAAAGTGGGAAATCTTTCCGCCGCTCAATACTTCACACTTCTTCTATATACAAATTTGTGGTACTGTACCGTACTACCCCGGTCTACAACTCTACACTCTATGTACACTCTTCAGTCTATGTACAGTCTAGTAGTCAGTCTACACTCTACTCCATTTACAATTTACAGTTCTACACTCTACCCCCCAGTCTACCGGACAACCGGAACTGTGGATATCCAATTAATAATAAAATATATTGTTTTTCTTAAAAAAACCCCCCCAAACAATTTTGATTAAAAAAATAAGCGCAGCAAGACAATGTATTTTAGAAATAAATATTACTAAAAATAGAGCGTTTTGTAAATACATTCAATCTTCACTTTTGCAGTACTTATCCCGCCATGCGGACTCAACTTTACCCTTTAGAAGTTATGTACTGTATTTACATAAATAGTTCAAATCTATAGACTACATACCTGAAAGCAGACACTGTACCTCTAGTATTGGTATTTAAATACATCCATAAACATCAAGCTCTCCTATGATTAATTTACTTCATTGAAAGCTACATATTTTATATACATACACATCAAGAAGTCAATATGAATCCCGAGTACATACAAGTCTCAGATGAGCACTCCAACGAGGTAAAGACAACAATAGAACGCGTCAACAACGAAGAAAGAACCTTAACATATTCCGAAGCCCAGGTTAAGAAGACAAAGGGGATACCTTTTGGTGCAAAACTTGGTTTAATCGATGGGCGTGTGTATGCTATCTGGGTGTATCATAGAGAAGAAGGGCCTAATACCGGGGCCAAGCCCGCGTTTTTAACGGATACAGTACGCACAGCAGCGTATAGGAGCGGGTTAAGATTCGGTACCGAGGTGACACATGTGAATGATTTGCACGTTATCAAGGACTTTGGAGGGGATCTGGAGGCGTGTGAGAGGTATATGAAGGAGGAAACGTTTGTCAAGCTTAATACCATTAGTCATATGGAAACACATCGTATGCCTCGTGATAAGACTCGGAACCTAGGTTTGTCGTTTTTGGGAGATGGGACTATTGCCAAGGTGGAGCCAGGAAGTTTAGCGGAAGATACTGGTCTAAGTGTGAGAAGGTGGATATATTGTGTGGACGAAAAACATCATACACTCGGACGCCCTCCCCAAGAAATACACCAAGTGCTCAAGAATGTGCTCAATGTGAAGATGAACAAACACACTGCGAATTTGATGAACCCTGCTACTGTAGAAAAGTATTTAAGCGGGTTTAGTGTGGTATGTGTGCCTAAGTCGCTTGGGAAGGAGTTGGAAAGGATCGGAAACGAGATATGTGAGAGGAAGCGCAGCAATCTGGTGTATGATATAAACTATGCATTGGACCATAATATGCAGGTGTACAACCCGGATCCTGCGGCTGGATCAAGGATGAGAAAGTACCAACCTCAAGCTAAACTGAGTAAGACATAAATATATATACATATATATATATATATATATATATATATATTGTGTTAGTGTATGTATATGTTACTTG